CAAATGTCCTGCACACACCAAAGTAAAGCGGCAAAACCAAAGTGGTAAGAGTGGAGAATGTAAACAAACCAACTGCTAACCAGATTTGTTAACACTGGTTTCATTTCTCTACTGGAGCATATTTGCATTTTTGTTCATCACAGTCAGAGATAACAGGAAAAGGGATGCATTTGTCAGTTACAGTAACTCACATTCATTGCTTTGACAGTAATCACCTCCCAAAGAATCATTCTGATTCAGGAAAATCCCTGAAATCCCAGCTGTTCGGTTCACTGCAGTCAACGCACCACACTTTTGTTTTTTCTACATTTTATTTTTTTCCTCATAAGCTCAGTGTGACAAGGAATGTGAAATTGTACTTTGTTTTTACAGAAATTTACAGTGATTAATCAAAGATCATACAATCACAGCAAAACTTAATATTGATATATTTAAAAAAAAAAAAGGAAAAACAATACTATACCTTCAAATATTAAGAAGTAAAATCTCTGCAAATCAACCAGTGTCTCGTCTACACACTTGGACATTAGTGCACATCGGGGTTTTCCTCTTCACATCAGTGAATCATTTCAGTTTTCTAAGAGCTGATCAACAAATAAACTAAACATCCACACAGTGCAGTGAACCAGGAAACTACTTTTGATTTAAACAAATGATCAGTGTGACAGTCATACGTGACGGGTCAGAATATAAAAACGTACAGTGGATTCCTTGGTAGAGCAGCATCGGATAAATCATAGGAACCGTTTACATCGTTTGGCCGTTTCAATGCCGGTCTCGCACTCCAAAAAAATATTGCTTTCATTATGTGCAGTTTAAGATTTATGGATGTTTTCAGTTCAGATCGACTGGTTTGGATTTCATAGCAGATTAAATGCATATTTGTTCCACTCAAAAATGATTTGTCTCCTGAACAAATGCCAAAACAAAACCCCCAGCAGTGTCTTTCTTCTGTAGCTGCTGAACAACAGTGATTCCAGTTTAGACGTCTCCTATTAACAGCTCAGTAGTTTTTCTAACACTCAGGCTTTTTTGGGGGCATTTCTCTTATAATATTACATAAGTCACTGCAAAAGCGTTCATGCTCTGCTTGCGGTTTGCTTTTATTTCTCCAGCGCACTGACAGACTGAAACATTTCATCACAAAGGAAAAGCTAATTGTTGATCAATTATAATATCGGTAAATACCAGTTTGAGTGATATGTATTTGTCATTCGATGGGTCCCATGTTGGCAACAGAACACTGCACCGTAAGAGGCCTCTGAATACAAGATCACAGATTTATGAGGCCTGAGGTCACTGCAGTGAGCGCAGCTTTCTCAGCAGACTACATGCACTGATGACGCACTGTGACTCCTCCGTTAGCTGCTGGCTGACGTGCGGTTTATCAGCGCTCGCTGCCAAACAAGCAGCAAAAATGATTTTGCAAGTATGAGAGAGAGATGATTATTTTGTGTCACCAATCTGCTGCTGTGAAGAACTTGTAATGACAATCCGCCACCTCGAACGAGTGATGAAACAGTCCTGAGTCCCGTCTTTGCGCCCAAACAGAAGCTGTAACGTTCATCGAAATGTTTAGTCTTCAGCGACCTTTACATGGAAATCTGCTCCGTTGCTATCATGCAATAAAATAAAGGGAAAATGAGACATGGACGGCAAAGTGAGGATTTTTTTTTTCTGTAGGTTCTGTAGTTTTGTGCTTTTGTGGGTTTTTTCCTAAAGCCTGACCGATACTTTTTTGGCGATTTTAGGAGTAAACAACTTTCTGATATCGATGTATCAGCTGATTTTCTTTAAATGTATGTTAGAGTTATAAAGGATGAATATGATCATTCATTTTTCAGCAGAGAAGTCAGCAATTCACCATAAAAAACATTCGTGTCGGCTCAGCTCTGAAGCACACTCTGCTACATGTGCTGCACACAGCACGGAGAGGATTGTAAACAATGGAGCGCACTCTGCTGGACAAACTGAGTCATGACACCTTTTCTAAATTAGCCCAAGCACTGTTTGTTTTTTTTGCACTTTATACCGTAAATAACACTTTCATTTCAACAATGTACACAGATAAACCGATGTATCTGTCGTAGGCCAGCATTGGCTGATAATATATCGGTCAGGCTCTAGTTTCTTCCCACCCAAAAAGACATGCAGGAGAAGTCCCATCCTGCCACGGAGCGAGGCACCGGCCTCAGAGCTGCATTTGGTCCAGGCACTGTTTGTCTGCTGCTGCTAAATAGTTAGGAGAGGTAAAGAAAAAAAAACAAAAATTCCTTCTGGAGATCTTAAAGCATACCTTGATAAATAAGTCTGCAAAACCAGTTTCACTATAACCAGTGAAGTATGTCCAGTTCCATCAGTGAGAATATTTAACATCGGCTCCACCGGGCAGCGTGTTGGTTCGATCACCGGGTCGCTGTGCATTGAAAACAAGCACTTATTGAACAATGTGTAAAATGTATGTAACTAATCAGTCACAATGCACAAGATGGTTGGCTAATTTAGCAAATGAAGGCACTGAAAAAAATGAGTGTTTGGATTAAAACCTCACTACACTGTCCTGTAGTGAAGAAGAAACACGACACATTCCCGCAGCATCACAGTCTCATCACAGAAAATAAATGTGAGCATGTAAGTACATTTCTGTTTCATGAGGCGACAAGCTGGTGAGCTTTAAACACGACGAGGGCGCCACGAACGTCTCCTTTGGTGCTGGACACTATCTGTCCTGGTTGTCCGACCTGAGGCCACAGTCCGAGGCGTCCTCGGAGGGAGTGTCCAGGACGGGATTGACAAACCCTTCGAACTCGGCGTCTGCATTGTCCTCCGGGTGGGTACTCACAAAATCGTTCTCCCACTCCAGCGCGTTGGAGTCCTCGGAGGCCGAGGTCGGCCCGCTGTTCATCTGCTTGCCGCCGGGCCTCAGGGCTGCACGCAAGATGTCCTCCTCCGTCCGAGACCTCTCCCAGACTGGAAGTGCACGATTGATTCCTGCAACGCAAGGACACCAGCGTTCATTCTGACAGCAGAAGTGCTGCCAAAGTCAGAGGAGTCAGAAACGGCTGCGGGCGTTAATCTGGTGGCTCAGGGGGGCACAGCTCTGAAAGCTGCTCCTGCACACGACTCCCTCAACTGTTTTTAATACTTCAGGTACCACAGTTCACCGGATTCGTGCATTTCTAAGCACCAAACTTCAGTGTTAGATAAACAGGATGATTTATACAGAATCAGTCGATGGATTAATGTGACATCTTACACACACACATGCATCAGCAGCAGCTCTCCTGGATGCTGTTCATGACTCTGCACTAAGATTTATGACTGGTGATGATTCCAATACTCATCAATCAGAGCTGTGTAATAGTCAGATGACCCTCACTCTCTGTAAGGTGTGACAGACCCTGGATTTTATTTATTTATGAGGCAGTCACTGTTTTTTCTTTACCCCCTTTAAATGACCCTACTGCAGTTATTTAATGTGGACTTTTACAATATGAGCTCAAATTACTGGATTTCACTGTAGGTGCTGTTTTTACTGAGCGTATAAAATCCAGTTTTATTCACTGTGCACCTGCAACATGGAATACGTTGCAGCTTACAATTAAAAGCTCGACTCATTTTCAACCTTTGGGCCACTCAGACTCGACTAAATGAGGCCGTCGTACCTCAATGTAGTTTAAATAAAGGTTGAATGAATAAGAGAAATAATATGTGCTTGCATTTAAACACAACACAGCTTCTTTTTAAGCAGAATTTTGCACAGTCTGGAAAACAATGAACAGGTATTTATGTTTAGACTAAATGAATTATCTGATGAAATTTGTCGTTGATTGACAGAAAATACGACGAGCGTCACTTCACTCTCAGCTCTGAGCTGAACTTAATCCACTGCATAAGTCTATAAAATGCTCAATGGGTGGATGTATGAGGCATGTGCAGGCCAGGAAAATATCAGGAGTGAAGCCAGAGTTCTTGGAGCTGAGGCAACCGAGTGCAAGAGAAGATGGAGGCAGTTTCAGAGTGGAAACGTAACGCTGCTCAGAAGAAGGTTAGAACGAGAGTGTGAAGGGAAACGATGCAGTCTGACTGAAAAATATTAATATGAAGAAGAGAATTACCAAAACAAGTCCGTCAGGGCTTTGAAATTATTCCTTAAATATAAATTTAACGACATAGATAAATCCAGACGATGTCAACGTTGGTCTGGAAAGTTTTAGGATCATTTAAAACAGTAGATGCTGAGTTAAGTCATTTTCAATCCATAAAATGCATATTTGTTAATAAATTGGTACAAATACAAATATTTACAAAAGCATTGATGTGTTTCATCGTCTTCAAAAATATATTTAAGTTGAATTACCACCTATTCTGCAAATCAAGTAATCATTTCTCAAGCAAAGCCAAACGTGAGGATTCCAGCATGAGCCGGCTGCTTTCTGAGCATCTTTGGGTTTTCTGGCAAAACACACATTTGATGACATTATAATTGAATTTCTAGGAAGCTGTCGTAAAAATTTTGTAGGTTTTTTTTTTTTTTTTACTTGTGTTATATTTCAAATGTCAAATAAAATAACTGAATAAATAAAATTGAATTGCTGCCTCTGAACAAATGGAAACATGCTGTAGCTGCTGTGAACAAGCAGCCTGCACTGTGTTCCCTCCAGATGCAATGTCACTTGTAATTTCATTAGTCCTGACTGCGGAACAACCCCACCCCTGGAGCCGGAGCAGAGGAAGCGCCGCCTCGATGCGATCGGACTCGTAAAGCTCAGTCGGAGTGTTGCATTGAAGTGTGATGGATCAGCGATTGGTGACGGATCAAACACTGTCTCGGCTTTTGTATCGCTCCACAGGGGAAAACAAATCAACAACCCAGCAGGATAAAGTTCTAAATCTTAGCTACTCTCACCTTCCTCGTCCTCCCACTCCAGATCCAGCGAGGTCCCGTCATCGTTGGTGGAGCGGGTCTTGGTGGTGAAATCCCAGCTGCACTCTGTGTTGGGAGTCACTGCGTTTGTGTCGGAGGGAAGTCCTGGCAGCGAGAACACAATTAGAACAACACAGAATGT